CAAAGATGCGCGGCGGGAAGCAGGATCCCAGCGGTGGTGTGGCTATTAGCCCAGGCTGCCACTGTGCACAGGCAGGGTCTCTCTCCTTGTGCTGGTGGCCTCGTCCCCACACCCTGCCTCCCTCCAGGTGCTGTGTGATCACTACTGGCCTTCAGAGTCATCGCCGGTCACCTATGGGAACCTCCGCGTTGACCTGCTCTCCCAGAGCAGCGCCGATGAGTGGACCTTGCGTGCATTCAAGCTCTGGCACGTGAGTGGGCAGCCAAGCAGGGCCCGGCCATGGCTGGGGGGTGTCACTGACCTGGGGGTGTCCCGGATACCTGCCCTTTCACCCCTGGCCTGCCCGGTTCCAACGGGGCCATCCACACGTGGGCTCGCCCCGGGCTCACCGGCGTTTTGCCCCCTCCCATTCTCCATCACCCCTGGCTGCCTCCCCCTTCCTATCATGGGGAAAGGTATCGCTCTGGGCGGCTTGCTTGCCCGAAGGCAGCCCTGTGCTAACCAGTGAGCCAACTCTGCCACCTCCCACCAGGCTTCCCCAGACCTGGCCCTGCTGCAGGGCAGCCTGCCCTATCATGGGGAAAGGTATCGCTCTGGGCGGCTTGCTTGCCCGAAGGCAGCCCTGTGCTAACCAGTGAGCCAACTCTGCCACCTCCCACCAGGCTTCCCCAGACCTGGCCCTGCTGCAGGGCAGCCTGCGCCCAACAGTCGCCGCTCGGTGCATCCTGCTCAACAGTCGCATGCCAGGGAGCTGGCACAGGAGACAGCCCTGAACAGCCGGGGCCTGGCTCTGGCCACTCAGACGTCAGCGTCTGGCCCGCTGGCTTAGCCACTGGCTGGGGCTGGCCGGGACGTAGCTGGGGATCCAGGTGAGCCGAGCAGGGTCCAGGCCTGCTGTGGGTCTCACGTGCCCAGAGACGCAGCCCCAGCGTCAGTCCCTCCAAGAAACTGAGGCCAGCCTGGGAGGGAGCTCAGGGCGGCAGCAGATGGAGCCCGGCTCCCAGAAACGGCCCTGCCCAGGCTGGCCCTGACCCCGGGGCCCCCGTGTGGCAGGAGACGCTCCGGGAAGAGAGGCGTGTGAGCCACCTGCACTACACAGCCTGGCCAGACCACGGCATTCCCGAGTCCACCGCCTTCCTC